ACCCCACCCCACCCCACTCCACCCCTTCCCATTTCCACGTCCTCTTTTCATCCCGTCTCCGCACGGTCGCGCCCACGTCGCTTCGCTTTGCGCCGGGCTCGGGCGGGGCGGGGCAGCAGCGCGGCGCGGCGTCTCCAGAGGTATGGTAATTTCCGACGCGGCGCGATTCGCAGCTGTCCTCGCGAGAGCGCCTGCGCCCGCTGTTTGCAGACGGCTCGATCCAGCGGGCGGAGGAGAAAGGCCGGACGCGGAGAACGCCCTCGGAGGGCTTCGGCGCGGCGGGCAAGGCGGGCGCGGACGGGCCGACACGGGACTGCAGTGGGAGGGGAACTTGCGTCTTGGGCACAGCATCGGGGTTTCAAAGCAAACAGATGCAGGAGGGTATTCAAGGCCCACTGGCGTATCGTTTAACGTCGCTTATTATTATTCAAACATTAATGTCGCTCACGTAATTTATTGTGTGATCGAATAATTTGTGAATGTCACTTGAGGTATTAAACGTTATATTTTCGTTATTCTGAAATGAAAAGAACAGTGTGAACTGTGTTGTTGTTAAATGAAAATTTTAATTAGTTTTAATTTTTCTGTAACGGGTTTTGCACGTTCTTGGGAACAATGTACAATATTTCAATTCCATCTGTTCCGGCCTCGATCAAGGGAATGGCATGCGAAGAGATTGAATTTTGTGTATATCGTCCCTGATATGAATTTAGTAGTGAACTATGAAGATCAGAATTATCGATAAATGACGTTTATATTATAATGCAAAGTACTGTATCAGTTGGTATCTACTAACGTTTTGAATAATAAATTTAGCTGGTTGAAGAATCTCCAGGACTAAGTAGACATATTATCATTCCCTCGGTTTAATTGTTGTCTCAAGCGCAAAGTGTTGGTCTTAAATTTCTTCCCTCCCAAACTCCACTTACCTTTCACGGCCACAGACGGTGAACTATAGTTTCGACTTTTGCAGAAACATGGACGTTCTTGTACGTTTTCCAAAATGATTTCAATCTATTGTTGCACTTGTTTTATTTCGTTTGTGCTATATATATTGCCACTGACAAACGTTAACTTATGTTTTTTTACTTTTCTTTGTTACAGGTGAGTTGCTGCTTAATGAAATTGAGATTCTCAAACTGCCGGTTTGCTGGGGTGGTGAGTATTTACATGTTGAAAATTAGCATAACTGTAGTATATATAACTAAAGTATAACTGTGAATAGTTTTGTCATACTTGTATCTGTACACATTGGGTATTTTTCTTAATCCATTTTAACTGTGTAAGTGGAGCTTGAACTTGGTGTCGCTAAAATATTTCGATGCTGTTACAAATAACTACGGTTTTTTCTTTTGGGCATTTATTTGTTGCATCCAAATTACATTTATAGCTATTGTTTGGTCGTCATGTAGTGAAAACAAAATGTTGCACCGGAAGATTACTATTTTCTCGAAGTGAAGAAAATTATATTAGTAAGCTTATATTACTAAAACTCTTGTCTTCCAGAGAAAATAAATTTCTGTAGTATTCGTAAGCTTAATTTGCGAAATATCTATACTTAATTTTCGAATTACAAAACATCTTCCATTTCCAGTCGAGTAGGAATTACAGGTAAACTTTTTTATCGGCAACTTGTGAAAGAAAACAGAGAGGTTTTGTGTTAAGCTGTTTTAACCCACATTTTTATTCAGAGGTGTAGGATATGTGACTCCGAAAGTTACATTTTATTGCTCCATAAACAGAACCCACTTAGTGAGGAACTTACGACAGATGCGATGATGGTGCTAACGAAACCTGACATATTTATAGTTTTTGATTAGAAGCCATTTTTATATGTACATTCTGTTAAGGCTTTCGAAATGTGTAAATTGTGTTACTTCACAAGATAGTAGAAATGGGTGTTGCACTAGTGTAAATTAAGATAATTCGTGAAGTACATATACCATGCGTTTTGGTGCGAACGTTAACCGTTCGGGATAATGTCGGAGCAATTCTCCTGTCTGTTGGTTCTGGTTTGTTGCTCTCATAATTCGATGTTGTAATTCAGCTGGTAAACGGCCTGACGCCTGCTTTGGGTTTTGAAATGCAAACGAGCTCTGAAATAAAACTTGTGACGGCCCTTTCGAGTGTCCATCCCACATGAAATGGTTATGCTGACTATGATGCAACACGCGCTTGCTTCTCTGGACGTTATGAATCGTATTTTTATTCAATACAGTTTCGTACTCTTTTCTCTTGTTTTTCTGCGTGGAAGCGATAATAAATTTCTCAGAATATGGTTTTACGCCATGATCTCATCCTCTGGTTGCGTTTTCGAAAGCACTGGCTGTGTTTCGTAATTTTTTGCTCGTTTGTTTGAAATCTTTTCAGCTGGTTTGTGGGATAAAATAACTGTTCTTTTAGGCGGTCATTGAAAATATGAAAAGATGCAAATATATTTTTATGCCCACACCGTCTCAAATATGTAAAATTCATAACTATTGGTCTGCGGCTGGAAAAACGCTGTTAAACGAAATCACGGAAATTGATTTTCAAATAAGTAGCTCTCACACAGTTCTAGAACACCGATAAAATACTCCCATATAACATCGCAATAAATAAAATATTTTTTGACCATCCCTCCAGAGCAGTGAACGCCAACTCGTCGGTCGTTCATTAGTAGCACACTTCATTAGTAGAAAATTTTCGGTACATTGCAGTCTCTCTCAGCATGTCTGTCGTGGAGTTGCTCCACTCAGCTCAGATGACTCGGGAAAACGGCTGCTTGCATACTCCCGCGCCACTGTCACTGTCGATCTAAGAGTTGATTGGGTGAACTGAAGTTATTCCCGTTATCTTTTGCGTTCTTTTTTCTTTTGGTAGCTCACCGTAGGAGTTAAAAATACCGCAGTTTATCAGAAGCTTGAAGAGGCTGGCATATATGATGCAGTTTTCTTGCAGATTCTCATACATTTTCTGTATAGAAACTTCTAACTCCTAAACTAGCAGCACAAAAGCCAAAAGTTGCGCATACACTGTCTGTACGTTTTCTGTATGAATCGCCCCGAGAAGCCCTAGAGGGCCTACCGGGAAAGAACTGAAATGCGCCGTTCGATTACTTTCAGTGGTAATATTATGTGCGTCTGTTCTGCCTAAAATATTTATAAAGTATTAATTAGCCATGAGAAGCATAGAGAAGAAAAATAGGAAGGCGGGAATAGGGTAAGAGGTTGTTTATCACAATATCTTGTCACAAAATCGCACCTTGAGACACCTAACACCAAAATCAAAATGACCGATTACCGACCCGTCGGGTAAACGAACCAGTTCGTGAACAATTTCTGCCGCTGGAGGTGCTCGAGTCAAACACTAAGTTTCCTGCATGAAAAATTACGAACTTGCTCAAAAGCTTTCATGCAGAAATCGTGGAATCTTTCCTGCACGTTTTCTGTACATCCAATCTGCACGAAAACTCTTATCATGTATAGCAACCTGTATACTCCGATTTAAACACACGGCGGCACTTCAAGGTCACGAGCTGAACGGAGAGTGGGGGGTGGACACAGTCGTCCAACCGGCAGCTTCGTTACGGCTTAAATGTTTGGTATTGGAGCTCCCGATTGGATGACAATGTTTCCCCTTCCTTCCAGCTCGTGGCCATGAAGTGCCTCGAAGTTTAAATGGGATTATAAGTTGGGCGACCAGTGCTCCAGAGGGTGCCCCAGGGACTGCTGGCCACGACCGCGACGTCGCCTCGTCCGAAGGGGGATTAAACGATTCGCCGCAGCGACACCGATCGGGTGGGGGAAGGGAGGGGCGGGGTCGACAAGTGGGGCCTTATTTAATTACAGCCCGCGGACCGGCTGCGGCGCCGTAAAAAAATAAAAGGCTTGGTTAAATGTAAATTACGGCCGCGGTAATAAGAAGGCGATTGCAGGGGCCCTCCGAAACAAGGAGGCAAATTACGATTTTTTAGAGCGCCACTGTAAACAATTATGACGTGGTAAGCAGGCAAAGGGGCGCGCGCGCACGCAACAAGACAGAGAAGAATGATGAGGAGGAGGTGGAGAAGGCGCAAGATGGCGAAAGTCAAGGAGAAGGGAATGGAGAATCAAGAGGAGATGGCGACCAGAAGGTTGGATAAGGTATAAAATGACAAGGAAAAGGGTAAGGCGAAGGAGAAGAGAACAGATGGCTGGGAAATAGGAAGAAGGCGAAAGATAATGGTGAATGCGAAGGTAGAGGAATAGTGAACTGGAGGTGGCGCTAAAGGGTCGAGGAGAAGAGGGCGCCATCAAGGGAGTGACAAGGATCCGAGGAGGTGAGGACAGAGGACGAAGGAGAACGCAAAAGAGACGAAGATATGATTGCCGGAGGGAGAAAGGGGCACGGAATGAAGTTGTGAGGAAGGAGACGAGGAAGGCGCAGGAAGAGCCTGTGAGGGGGAGGGGCTGGCGGCGCGGCCTTTTTGCGAGGGTTCTCAAGGCAGATCGGCGGCGACGCTAACGAGGTGCCCGAGGGTGGAGGCGGGGGTAGGGGGAGGGCCGCGGCCAGCAACGATGCCCAGGCACGTAGCGACAACTTCGCTTGAGCACACACCGGGAGAGGTGGCTCAGGGCATCAACTGTTGTCACTGCAGTGCGTCGTACCGGGAGGCCCTGGGAATCCACGGTAGCTACAGAGCTCGGTCGAGTCCAGCCGCTGTCTGGTACACAAATCCAGCGACCGGCTTCTGCGGTCTTTCCTATGTTGTGCCAGAATGATGGAACACATTTTTTTGTGCTATCTTCAAACTTGTGGATTATAATTTACAAAACGTGGCTTACCGAAGTATTATCCCAAAATGAGATAATTCGGGCAGCCACATATATATTAATATATCTTCTTATCAAGAAATTATGTTTGCTTCATTATGTACCATTATAATTTAAACTATACTGGAACATTGCCTTTGAGCTTGCAATTTTTCACATTTTGTAATATTATTAGTTTATAATGTGATCTCCGGATTTAATAATAATAATAACCGTAATAACAAAAATAATTAATGGTAGTAAATAAAGTAAAATGCATGAACACAGTTAATGCACCTTCCCAGCCTGCCGTGCTGAGCCCGTACACTGAAGGCGTCCGTGGCTGCCCCGTGGCTTCCAGAGTGCCTTGTGTCCTGCTTCGAGGGAGGGCCGCCGCCTCAAAAGATGCGGCACCGGAGGCGCAGACGCCAGTGCTAACGAGGCCCAGGCCGCGCTCACGCACGCACGCATATGCACGCACACGGACACGCATACGGGAACAAGGAAGACAGCTGATGAACAGTCTCGCGAAAGAAGGTTTTTTTCTGTTAAGTCGAAGAAGACAGGTAGCTGACCTACAGCCGCTAGTTATCGAAGTGGATAGGGCGTCTTGAAAATCCTGGAGGACTGTCTGAAAGGTGTTTCGTAGGACAGGGGGTGTCGTGTCTCCCTTATCGACTTCAAATTTCAAGGCTCGAGAGAAGATAGTAGATGAAGGGCACAGTGAAATTCCGCAGTGTAAACGTGCAGAAGGTAGCCTTCCATTACCTTACTTACCTCAAAGCTACCTCCTACTGCAGCCGTGTACAGAGAGAGTTTTTATATTTTTTGTAGTATAATTATATATTATAATTTTTAGTGCCATGATATTTTATATTTCCTTGAAACCGTTTGAAACAAACAACAAAAGTTTGTGCGTCTGATCTTGCGCACGCGGCGCAATCTCGCACCATACACAAAACTTATAGCAAAAGATAGTGTAGATTAATACAAATGTATTATGTTATTCTTGAAAAGAAAATTAATAGACTATTAAAAAACACTACCTCCGACCTTTTGTTTCGCTTAGCCGTATCCATAAACTCCTACCAACATGTAATATAACGAGTGAATTGTAAGGAAACGAGTAAAATTAATAAACCACAAAAACGAGAGCGTGAAAAACGGCCATGCGTGTTCGTGCGTTGAAGTCTCTTTATAACAAGCTTCCCGGCGCACACTTCTTGGTCATAAATATGCCTGTGTACGTTTCTCTACATTGACTTAATTACTCACGTTGTTTTTCGAGTTTTTGTCTTCCAGAAAAAATGCCTAATTTTTGAAGCGTGACCCTGTTTACTTTCTGGTCTTATTTTTTGTTTTATTGCATGATTTGTTTTTGAGACA